GCAGTTAGCATAGGTTCAGTTCCATTTCAGATAGCTCCTCTTTCCAGCTTACACTTCTCGATATCTGTAGGCCCCTTCCTGTGTAGTCGGTGTTACCTTCAGGGATTTTAATCTGTTGCACCAGTCCTTTCTGAAGCGGTTCCCTTTGTTTATTTGGCTTCTGTTTGCCGTCTCTTTGGTGTCTAATTTCCGCCCTGACACAGGCGGGCGGAGGTGATCTCTTATTTAGGTTCTCTAGTTCAGTTTAGTCCTGCTACGGGGAGGGCGGGGCGCTGCAGACAGATACCCCTCTGTGTGGATAGCACTCACCGTGTTCCGGTCACACTGGGTTTGCCCCACTCACGGGTGTCAGTGCTTTCGCCGTCTACACTGCTCAGGCTCCCGGCTGCTCTATATGGAGCGGGCCCTGCGTTGAGTGCGGTTCCAGTTTTCAGGTACTCCACAAAAGCGCAGATTCGGTTGCGCCTGCGTTTTGTGCCTTCCCCGGCCTGAGCGGCCCAGGCAGCCAGAGGCTTGGGCGCACTCTCCCCGGGTACGGCGCGCCTTGTCCCTCCGCGGTGAGCGGCTCAGGCAGCCAGAGGCTTGGGCGTACTCTCGCTGGGTGCAGCGCGCCTTTTCCCGCCGCGGCGGGCAGCTCAGGCAGCCAGAGGCTTGGGCGCACTCTCCCCGGGTACGGCGCGCCTTTTCCCTCCGCGGCCCCAGCGCGCACCGCCAGTCGGGTCTCAGAAGTCTTTAGATAGGAACCGGGGGCCTGTTTGCAGTGTGGGGAGGGGGTGGCTTCTCTGGGGCTGAGTTTGCCCTTTTCCCCTCCCCCCTGCCTCCAACCTCCAGCGGGGATGGGCCGGCTCTTCTCTGGACTTTCTCAGTCCCTTTGTTTTGCCAACCGCCGGCAGTGTGTTCGGGCCTGTTAATTTTGACCCTTGCTATCCCACAGTTTAAAAAAGCTCCCTCCGATTGCTCTCAGGGTCTTCGGGCCGGTCCTTACCCTAAGCAATGCCGCCCGCTCCTCTCCGTCCCGCCCCCGCTTGTTGCTGGCGGGTACGGGCGTCTGGGGTACTTTTCTGCTGGGAGTTGCTTTTAGGCACGTAATCTGTGGGCCTTGTTTAATTTTTCCTCCCAGTTAGATTGCCGAAAACTTCCCCCAGTCCCGCCAGTGCGAGGGTTTCCTGGTGATTGGAAACTTCCTCTATTAAGACTCCCTTCCCGGGACGGGTCTCCGTCCGTAGCTCTCCTGAGTCCCTTTTTATCTTTTATATTTTGTCCTACCTCCCTTCGAAGACAGTGGGCTGCTTTTCTGGGCACCTGATGTCCTCTGCTAGCGATCAGAAGTTGTTTTGTGAAATTTGCTCAGCATTCAAATGTTCTTTCGATGAATTTGTAGGAGAGAAAGTGGTCTCCCCGTCCTATTCCTCCGCCATCTTGGCTCCTTCCAACAGGATTTTTCTGTAGAAAATAGTCAACCAAAAATACTGTAGAGCTTACAGCTGAGTTTAATGAGAATGCATGATACATAATGAATATATGAAAAGAACATTTTTGCATACTAGTAAAATTAGAAAATAAAAGCTTAAAAATGCTGTTTATAATAGTGTGGAAGACGTCTACACTGAAAACTTTATATATAAACATTGCTGAGAGAAACTAAATACCTAAATAAAAGGTGAGATTAAACCATGTTCATAGATTGGAAGACTCAGTAGTGTTAATCTGAGCATTCTTCCTAAATGACAGTCCCAATCAAACCTCCAGTAAGTTTTAATAGAAATTAATCAGCTGATTTGAAAATGTAGGTAGAAATTCAAAGAACATGAAGTAGTCAAAACAGTCTTGAAAAAAAGGACAAAGTTGAATGTATTACCTGATTTCAAGACTTACTATAGAGCTATAGTTATCAGGCAATATTGAGATAAACAGATCCATGGAATAGGGTAGAATTCGGAAATAGATCTACATTTACATAGCTCATTTCAAGAATGGTTCTAGAATAACTGGATATCTTCATAGGAAGAAAAAACTAAACCTTGAGGGCTTCCCTTTTGAATCAGCATTAGAGAGTCCTCCTGACAATGTAGGAGCCACCGGTTCAACTCCTGCTCCCGGAAGAGCCCACATGCCACACGGCAGCTAAGTCCCTGCGCCACAACTACTGAGACTGTGCTCTGGAGCCCAGGAGCCACAACTTCTTAGCCGATATACTGCAGCTACCGAAGTATGCATTCCCTAGAGCCCGTGCCCTGCAACGAGAAGCCCATGCACTGCAGCTGGAGAGTAGCCCCCGCTCTCTGCAAATAGAGAAAAACCCATGCAGCAACAAAGACCCAGCATAGAAAGGAAGATGGAAAACTGTCTTTATTAGCAGTTAACAGGATTTTTTCTGTATAAATTTTATTTTTTCTGTTGAAAATGAGTAATTTTTTTAAAAAGTGAATCATTTAAAAAAAAAGGAACCTTGAGCCATATCTCATATCTTACATAAATGCTAATTCAATTTGGATGATATACATCAATATAAAACCTTAAACTACAGCTTTTAGTAGAAAATAGGAGAATATTTTAGCAGCCTTCGAGTAAGCAAAAGATTTTTTTTAAAGGACATGAAAGGAAAAACAATCTTTTAAAAATGGTAAATTGTTCTTCAAAATTAGAATTTGGGGATCTCCCTGATCGTCCAGCAGGAAAGACGGCCTGCTTCCAGTGCAGGGAGCACTGGTTTGAGCCCTGGGTAGGGAACATGTTGTGCCAAAAAACACAGAAAATTAATTAAAAATTTGGCTTATCAAAAAATTCTGTTGTAAGTGGAAGGAATGTAGGAGTATAGTCAGTTGGGGAAGATAAGTTCAGGAGATGAATGGTGGTAATGGTTGCACAACAGCATGAAAGTACTCAAAGCCACTGAACTATATACACCAATAAATTGTTAAAAAGGTGAATTTTACGTTACATTTTACCACACACACAAAAACACACCCCATTAAGATGGTGAAGAGGCAAGCCACAGACTGGGAGCAAACATTTCCAACCAAAATATATAAAGAACTCCTACAACTGATCAACAAAGAGACAAAAATATTTATTTTATTTAAATATCATTTTTCTTTGGATTATTGTTTAAGCTGACCAGCTGCTTTTCAACTATTTTGTTGTCTTCATGCATTCTGTTGACAGGACAGTCTCAGTATTTGCAGGAATTTGGGATTATCCCTTCACTTGGTTTATGTAAATGTTAAATAAAATTAGTTTTAGTACTAATATCTAAAACATCTTTACCACTTGCCTCTTTATCCACACTGTGTTTCCTATCTTCAAGCCACCAGCCGCTTACCTTCTTTTTTGTTTTCTTAACATTAACTTCTCCAGAATCGTAGATTTATGAACTACAGACAGTTATTCCTACTCTTAACAACATTCTCAAGACATTTTTCAGTCACATAGGACAAAGTCCACACTCTCACAAATGTAAATTTATATTTACAGAATATGTATTTTGCCTACTTTCATAAATACTATAAGCATGTTGCTTTTCAGTGAGCATTAACTTAGATTTTTTGTTTATTTTTTAATTCAGTAAACTTGTTTACTTAACTACATGTAGAAGCAGGCTTGGAGACATAAAGTATATTTTTCTTTTATGCCCATGCTAAGGAATCAGAATTAATTTGAAAAAAGAATGCTACTTATACCCTACAGAAATAATAAATGACATAGCCCATGTCCTTAGGAATTTATAATGTGATCAGAGAAAGTGTTGTTGCTCAGTTGTGTCCACCTCTTTTTGACCCCATAGGCTGCACCCCATGGACTCTGTCCATCTAATTGCCCAGGCAAGAATACTGGAGCGGGTAGACATTCCCTTCTCCAGGGGATCTTCCCAACCCAGGGATTGAACTTGGGTCTCTTGTGTTGCAAGCAGATTGTTTACCATCTGGGCCACGAGGAAAGCCCTGGTGATCAGAGAAAACCAACACAACACATTTCTTTTTTTTTTAAACTTTTTATTTCGTATTGGAGTATAGCCGATTAACAAACAGTGTTCTGAGAGTTTGAGGTGAACAGTGTAGGGACTCAGTAATGCGTATACCTGTAAGAGACATTTCTTTGATAAGATTTAAGTTCTCAGTTTTTGACAAGAGATCAGAAGTAGAGTGATGAACAAGAAATCTCTGGGGAGATTTCTAGAGGTGTTGAGGATTTGGAAAGGCAGTATGGAGAGCCGCTATAGTTCTGTGCAAAGGAAGACTCAGAACAAGAATGGCACAACAGTGAGGGACTTGTCCAGATCAAAGCAGAGGTTGCTACTGAGAATTAGAGTAAAATAACGCTTCTAAAATTTTCTGTGATCTTTATTTGCTCAACTGTTCCTTCTGTAGCTTTTTGACTTTATGTAGTTGCTATCAGGGGATACTAAATTCTTCAATTATACTAAATTCTTATTCTTTCTACAGATTTTGTAGCCCTTTTTATACTACATTTAACAAAAGATACTACAGTGCTCATTAAGCTACCTTAAGAAGGACAATTTTTTTGTTTGCTTTGTTCTTTTAAAAAGCAAGGGCTTTATCACCAAGCCCTTGCTAAACACATTTTGGTAAAATTCCGTAGAATTGTCATGGTAATTAAGGATTGCTGTTGGGGGGAGGGATAAATTAGGAGTGTGGGATTAACAGGCACAAACTACATAAAATAAGTAACAAGGGCATACTGTATAGCACAGGGCACTATATTTAATATCTTGTAATAACCTATAATGGAAAATTTGAAAGAAAGAAATATGTAATTGAATCACTTTGCTATATACCTGAAACTAACATAGTATTGCAAATCAAGTATACTTCAATTAAAAAGTTGCTATAAATGTTTCTAAAAGCTTATTCAGATTTTTTGTACTTTGGTCATTCATGGGTAGCAAATGGTCAGTGGACTATGCTTTGAATAGCTCCTCTTTAGAATATTAATATTTTGTGTCTTGATAAAAGTTACTATATACATTATTTTTTAAACAGATATGCATCTTCTATTGATGATATTTTGGAAGATGAAGAACATTATGCGGATCAGTTAAAGGAGTATCTTTTTTATGCAGAAGCATTGCGGTAAGTATAATACATGTTCCAGATGCAGTCCTATGGCTGGTCAACACTCTCTTCATCTGTTACTCTAAAATAAAGAGCATAAGGTGATTTTTAAATGAATTCCTTCCCCTAGATATTGAATGAGATCTCACTGTATTCCTATCTGTTGCAGAGTGCTAGACATAGGAAATTTTTTTTTTTTTTTCATTTATTTTTGTTAGTTGGAGGCTAATTACTTCACAACATTTCAGTGGGTTTTGTCATACATTGACATGAATCAGCCATGGAGTTACATGTATTCCCCATCCCGATCCCCCCTCCCACGGCCCTCTCCACCCAATTCCTCTGGGTCTTCCCAGTGCACCAGGCCCGAGCACTTGTCTCATGCATCCAACCTGGGCTGGTGACCTGTTTCACTATAGATAATACACATGCTGTTCTTTCGAAACATCCCACCCTCGCCTTCTCCCACAGAGTCCAAAAGTCTGTTCTGTACATCTATGTCTCTTTTTCTGTTTTGCATATAGGATTATCATTACCATCTTTCTAAATTCCATATATATGTGTTAGTATGCTGTAATGTTCTTCATCTTTCTGGCTTACTTCACTCTGTATAATGGGCTCCAGTTTCATCCATCTCATTGGAACTGATTCAAATGAATTCTTTTTAACGGCTGAGTAATATTCCATGGTGTATATGTAGGAATTTAAGACAACCCTGATCCCTGGTGGTCAGATGATAAAGTGTCTGCCTGCAATGCAGGAGACCTTAGTTCGATCTCTGGGTTGGAAAGATACCCTGGAGAAGGAAATGGCAACCTACCAGTATTCTTCCCTGGAGAATCCCATGGACAGAGGAGCCTGGAGGGCTACAGTCCATGGGGTCACAAAGAGTTGGACATGACTAAGCGACTTAACACTGTCACTATATTTGAAACATTATATTGATAAAACCTGTTAGTCTCTGACTTCAGGGCTGTCTGTATGTTGTTCTTTCTGCTTTTTCCAGCTTGGAGATTGGAAGCAAAGTACACATTGAGTGTGTGTTATCATGATCTGTCATTAGATTGTATATTACCTTTAAATTCTGTGACGTTTCCATACCTGCATATTTTATCTCCTTAGTAAGATTGTAAAATTTCTTAACGTCAGGACTTTGTCTTCTGTGTTTGTGGTATCTCCTACAGGGCCAAACAGAATTCTCTGGGAGATATTCCAGTTTAGAAAAGTGAATCATTTTCCTGCCACTTTTAACATCATTGTAAGAATTCTGTTAATAAAACAGAAGAACAATATTCCTTTGGCTGTTCAGTAGCTGGGATGAAAACATCACATTGTTAGCCTTTTTCCTTCTAGAGCTTTGAGTAGTAGAGGTCACACCAGGCTTTTACCAAAGGAAGGTTGCTCAACACAATGGAATTCTTTGCAACTCTTAAAGATTATAGAAAAGATGAATGTATATTGATAAAGAAATGTGTCCTTGGTATATAGTTCAGAAATGCCTAGTTAAAGTCTAGAACAATATATACCACCTATTAATATGAATTGTGTCTGGATAGTAGAACTAGGGAGAAGAAAGTGTTCTTGAAACTTATTTAGTACATTCCTGTATTAGAATCTTTTTTTTTTTTTTTTAGTGAGCATGGATTACTTTTATGATAATGAAAACTAATAGACATTTCTCAATAGAAAACTTTGAGATAATCTTTTTAAACAATATTCAGTTGTTATGTGAGATGATAGCATTAGTTCCAGTGCTGTACAAAAAAAGCTTTTTTAAAAAATGTATGTGATAAAAATTTAATTTAGCAGAATCTAAGCATAAAAACTTTATAAATCAAAAAAGGTTGTTTTCCATCTGGGCTACTACATTTTAATGTTGGGCTACTACATTTTAAGCTTAAAAATTCTATATATAAAACTTCTGATCATAGTACGTGAATGCCTCCACTTTACTCCCTGGGGAAAAATTTAACATGTTAATAATTAGAGAGGCCACAAAAATTAAATGGCAAAAATTAAATTTTTTTCCTAGGGCTGTGTGCAGGAAACATGAACTTATGCAGTATGACTTAGAGATGGCTGCTCAGGACCTAGCATCCAAGAAGCAGCAGTGTGAGGAACTGGCAACTGGGGGTGAGCTATTTTCCATTTGGGTCTGTGGTATTATTATAACGAACCTTAAGTGAAATGGGCTGCAGGATGCCTGTAGCTTTTAAAGGGGAGTAATTTGTGGACAACTTTATAATTCTTTTGGTTGTGATCTTAACATAAAAAGATATAAGCCATTAGGGACTTCCCTGATGGTCCAGTGGTTAAGACTACGTGCTTTCATTGCAGGGAGCACGAGTTCAATCCATGGTCAGGGAACTAAGGTCCCACATGCTGCGTTGTGGTGGCCAAAAAGTAAAATTAAATTTAAAAAATTAAGTCTTAAAAAAAAGCAACCATTAAAACATATATAGCGTTACAAGAAATTTTGCCAGATTGCACTGTGTAATAAGAACCATCTCTTTTCTGATTAAGTCTAAGTGGAAAAAACCATTATTCTTTGGGATTGAAATAATGACCTTTGCATGGTTTAATTTTATCACTTACATTGTAGAAATTTTAGTTAACTTTGAAAAACTTTGCCCTGTTAGAATCAGTGCCTCTCTCCTAACAGAGAACTTTTTGTGTACTTTATTCTTGAATCCTTACAGTGAGTACTTGTGAAGAAAATTTTGTATCTGACTATATTAGACTTAGATAATTTTTATAATCAGCTTTCTATTGTCCAGCTATTTCATTGGAATAAATAAGCTGTCATGGTGAGAGCACACAATCTGGAAGTAATGAAGCAGTGACAGTGCCACTGTTTATAAGTCATTTCATAGTTAACAAGTCCTTGACTTCCCTGCTGGCTCAAACGGTAAAGCATCTCCCTACAGTGTGGGAGACCCGGGTTCAAACCCTGGGGTGGGAAGATCTCCTGGAGAAGGAAATGGTAACCCACTCCAGTATTCTTGCCTGGAAAATCCCATGGATGGAGAAGCCTGGTAGGCTACAGTCCATGGGGTCGCCAAGAGTCAGATACGACTGAGCAACTTCACTTTACTTTTACAAGTGCTTGTGGGCTACCCACATGAAGATACATGGGGAAGGACCTTTGACCATGAAGCAGATACACACTGGCTTGATTTATTTTTAAAATCCAGGGGAAATTTCCAGTCCATTTTCAGGGAGCTTGGCTCTCTACTCCTGCATTTGCAGGGAAAAGCGTTTCCTTCAGTAAATTCCAGAGAGTGAAGAGATGGTGACGTTTGAGGCTTGGGTTTAGTCATTCTGTTTTATTAATAGATAACCAAGTTTTAGTGTGAATTATGCAGATTTTAAATGGTTTTTTCAGTTTGGTTTATTTTCGTTGTTGCCTGTTGAATTTTATCCATTTTTTATGATCACAGAATAATTGAAAAAATATGACTGCTGACATAAATAACTTGCCTAGTATTTCACCTGGAAGTTTTCTATATGATGAAGAAGCTCAGTTAAAATTTTTCCTTTTTTGATTCTTCAACATTTTCTAGTATTATAAGCCTTAATAGTAGCCCCTTGGTTGTATGGTTTGTGGTGTTCTGTCTGAGGTAGGGGGAAAATGACTATGTCCTCTTTAAAAAAAATTTGTGGTAAAATATACAGAACATAGCATTTATTATTTTAACCATTTTTCAAGTTCAGTAGTAGTAAGTTCATTTACATTGTTGTACAGCAAACCTGCAGAACTCTTCATCTCGCAAAATTGAAACTCTGTACTTATTAAATATCAACTATTAATTTCCCTCGTCACCTTGCCCTTGGCAGTCACCATTCCACTTTCTGTCTCTGTAAGTTATACTACTATGGATACTTCATGTAAGTAGACTTGTACTGTATTTGTCTTTTTGTGACTGGCTTATTTTACTTAGCACAGTGTCCTCAAGGTTCATCCATATTGTAGCGTGTGTCAGAATTTTCTTCCTTTTTAAGACTGAAAAATATTTCAGTGTATGGATGTTATTTATCCATTCATCTGTTTCTGTTTCATTTTAGACTGTGAGAACATTTTCTTTGAAGGGAGTGACTACCCAGCTCTTCGGTCAAGAAACTCCAGAGCAGAGAGAAGCCAGAATAAAGATGCTAGAAGAACAAATAAAGGAAGGAGAACAACAACTTAAGTCTAAAAATCTGGAAGGCAGGTAAAAATGCTGGGATGTTTAACATGGCTAGACTTTAGGCTCTGTGGCAGGTGGCTTATAACGATTCCTAGCTTCATCAGTCCCTGGATGTAGCCTCAATCTTCTAAAATACAGTGATTGACTATTCCTGAGAAATTTGAGTAATCAAAAATCATGTTACACAGAAACAGTTGTGTTAGTGTTGGGGAAAGGGGAAGAAGGAAGTGTTTAAACTTCATAATATTATTTTCTTGCACTTTACATGATTTCTATCCTTTGCATATTTCCTCTACTCTATTCTGTCAGTTAAAAGCCTCATCATTCTGCAATGCCCAGCTCTTGAACTGCTTCCTTTGTTAAGCCTTCTCTTATCCTCACAGGCTGTCACAGCACTTGGTTAATGCCCTTATCCCACGGCACTTTGTACAGTGTGACTGTCTCTGGCTAAATTACAAGCCCTTCAAAGACACAGTGATTGTGTCTTCTTCATCTTTATGTCCCAGCACCTTGCATATGACTTAGAATATAATTATTCCATAAATATTTTCAGAAATTCACTTCTCAGAGATCTGCCATGGACTTTTGGGCGCATTTTTCATGTTGTTTTTGTCAGTTTTGACAGTTGTTGAGTAGATCAAGGCAGACTAAGAGTTTCACTGATTTGGAGGTGGTTTTGTTAATTTTTGAAACTGCTGGTGTCAAGTAAGTCAAAGTTAACTCATGAACAGAGTTAAAAAGACAAATGGATCACATGTTTAAAAAAAAAGACAAATGGCTCTCAGAACTTTTAAAACTCTAGTTGTCATTTAAAGAAAATACATGATAAATGTGATACATAATCCATCTTGTTGAAAAGACTGTATGTTTTGCAGTGACTCCAGGCAGGTAAGTTCATGCGGCATCTGTTGGCTTGTAAGTTGGTTCAAGGAGCCATTTACATCTGTTTTACAGGAATAATTTGAAGCTGGAATTCATGGTAAAAGAGACTATTAAAATGTAGAAGAGTGTATGACTGTCTGCTTTTTCTCTCACTTTATAGACAAAAACCCAACTCAGATGAGAAGTGTTTATTTGAATTAATAATATGTAGTTTATTTAATTTAAATAAGAATAATAATGATGACTATACCCTTTATTTCAGAGAGTTTGTCAAAAATGCTTGGGCTGATATTGAACGCTTCAAAGAACAAAAGAACCATGATTTAAAGGAGGCCCTCATCAGCTACGCAGTCATGCAGATCAGTATGTGCAAAAAGGTAGGTTTTGGTTTCATTGAAGGTACGAGTATATTCAGAAGTGCTGCCAAATTTCTTTAAAATCAGTTTCTTATTTGGAACAAAGTGTATATCATTTTTATTTTTAAAGTCCATTCTTCTCTTCCAGAATGTTTCCCAGTTTCTCTACTTAATTTTGAAAGAAGTGTCATAATTAAAATCTTAATTACCAAGTCTCCACTCATCTAAAGTTCCAAATTTGTATGCCCTGTTTTTACTTGTATTTGAAAATATGTACTAAAAACATTACTATGGTTATGTGATATTCTTGAACAGGGCAGTAAAATACCATTCCTAACAGCGATACATACTTTCATTGAAAAATGGTCTAAACGTTAGGGTTTAGATAGAGTAGTATCTAATGGAGTATTCAGTGTTAGAAAAGGCAAGATAGATCTCACATGCACTGTCCTAATAAGATGGATCTCACATGCACTGTCCTAATAAGATGGATCTCACATGTACTGTCCTAATGAGATGTCCTAATAGAACGGCAGATGAGAAAACAGGCTACACACTAGTGCATATAATGCAATCCTGTTTTTGTGGGAAAGAGGAAAGTGTGTATTTTTTAAATGATTGTATGTATACAAATGAGTTTGAAAAGATACACATGAAAGCGTGTATTAATAAACATGTCACTGATACCTCTCGTATAAGGTATGAACACTGAAGCTTATTCTGGTTAAAATAAGTGTTTTGGCAGTGATGGAAATTTTTTAAAATGATGTTGTAAGAACAAAATGTATAATATTCCTTAACCTCATTTTCAGAACCCCAGAGCTGCCTGTGTGATCACCAGTCAGTACTGGTGCTTTACATTTCTCTAGTGCTTCTTAATTTATTGAGTGATTCAGCATGCTTTATCTCAGTAAATCATTTAGTAAGTCAGTCTGGGACATTAAAGGATTCTTGTGTGGTTTTGTTTTGTTTTTCTTTTTGTGTTTCATCAGGGAGGAAAAAAAGCTAAAAAGATTAATTTTTTTCCTATTGTTCAAAGCCTCAATAAATATTGATTAACTTTAATGTGTAAGTATTAAAATTTCTTGATAAATTAGCAGTTATTGAAGAATATATATATATATAAACAGGATATATATATATCTTGTTTGTTGAAAACATACCTTCCACCACTGTCTAGATTTTACTATTACATTTTTTACAAACATGCATTTTTGTTTAAGCCTATTAGGTATATAATAGCATGTTAGTTTTTGCTAAATAGCCTGCTGTAACCACTGAGAGGGAGTTCATAACTTTTTATCAAAATATTGGTTATTAGGTTAATAAATTAATAATATTTAATTGTTAGACTAATCAGGTTTTTTTGTTTTAGATATTGCAAAACTTGTTTGTTTTATAAGTAGAAATGATATGAATATATGATATGAGTAAATGAGTCTTTCAAAAAGAAGTAGGAGTTCTGTATCTTTTTTGAAAACAGGCTCATACAATGATTCTATTACTTTTTTCACAAGTATTTCACTTTGACTTATATTTGCCATTGCCAGAAAAAGTGTTCTGTTTGTTGTACTTATTAATTATTCCAAAAGTTGAAACCTAACATACCAGTAAGCCAAGTACTTGGCCTTTCAAAATCCTTCCAAAATTACATTTTAAGGTTTTGGGGCCTTTTTTTTTTTTTGGTTTGTTTTAAAAGGGAATTCAAGTTTGGACCAATGCTAAGGAATGCTTTAGCAAGATGTAATCCTGTGAAATGAATTTCTCTTCAATCAAAGTACCCCAAAACAGAAGCACAAGTAAATAAAAAGATTTGTTACCCTGCATACACAAAAATATATAGTAAGTTGAGTAAGTTCAACTTTCATTAATTTGATTATATTAATATAGCACAAAAGGATGTATTTTAATGAAGATTAAATATTATAATTTGAGGTTTTGGGGACTGGTGCTGATTGTAAAATGTTAATTAGATAAAATATACCAACAGATTGTTGCTTCTGAACCAGTGTCTGAATGTCAAGATGTTAGGTCATTTCTAGAAGTTCGTTTCAAGTGCCCACTGTTTCATATCTGCTTATGTAGGGAGTCTTTCCCTAAGACTGAATTCTTATCTTTATTTGGTAAGGCCCACTAATCTCTCACAGAGGGTTAATTTTTCTTGCCTTACAGTTGAGCTGTTTGGTTTGACAAAGCTCAGCTGAAATTTAGTGTGAAATCTAAGAATTTCTCCTACATTCATTAATGCCCCCAAACATTACATACACTAGACAATGCCTTCAGTGTGTGTTTTACCAGAATTTTGATATGGTCAAAATTTTATACTGCCAACAAAGAAGACTCAGCTTCTCAGTGGAATACATTGTTATAATCTAGGAATTGCTATATAGAAAGTTTTGAGTATGTTACATATACAAGCATTAAATTCTTAAATAATTCTTAACCTCAGTGATGAGCCTAAATTTACTCTGCTTGGCTCTCTACACATGGCATTTCAGGGTACAAGATGTAGCATTTCAATGTATAAGATATATGTAGTGAACATATGTATTATTATCTTCATTATTATCATCCTTTTTTATTGCTTGGCTATAATTTTTATAAAGATAAATTATATTGCTTTTGTGTATGTGTTTTTGTGGTATATGTTCAGAAGCCAAGCACCCTTGGAATTTGCTAGCTTTGCAGAACTCTACATGTATACTCATTATTACTAATTATGTAAAAAAAAATTTTTCAGTACTGTTCAACATTTGACTTTTTTACATGTTTGAAATGTTGCTGAATTTTTGTGCTGTTTGCCAGACTTATACAGTAAATAAATGAAATACTGTGTTGATTTTCATATGATTTTTGTTATTTAACAAAGTGGTCTATATCTGTTAGTATCTGATGCCCTGTGGAAAAATAATATATGCCATATTATGTTTTGAAGAGTTTAATTGTATAAATTTGTCTTATGCCAAAATGTTGGATTTCTTAAAAATAAGATGCTGAAATGATATATGATTTTTAAATGTTTACCTTTTTTTAAAAAAAGGTCAAATTGTCAGGAGCAAAAGTCATCTTGATAGGTGCAGTTTTCGTCCCACTGAAGTGTATCCTCTCTTGGCTCACAAAATAAAATAGCTTTCCATTTGGCCTTTAAAATCAAAAGCCTTTTCTTCCAACCTAACCTTATGCTAAATAGAAAATTTATCAGAGGACTTCCCTGGTGGTACAGTGGATAAGAATCTGCCTGCCAATGCAGGGGACACAGATTTGATCCTTGGTCCGGGAAGATTCCACATAGCTTGGGCAACTAAGTCCATGAGCCACAACTACTGAGCCCCCACGCTCTGGACCTGTGAGCCACCACTCATGAGCTCCTGTGTGCAGCCGCTAAAGCCCATGCACTAGAGCCTTGCTCCACAACAAGAGAAGCCACTGCGATGAGAAGCCTGCTCACTGCAACAGGAGAAAGTCCAAGCAACACTGAGACCCAGCACAACCAAAAAAAAGCATTGGGTTTTTTCCCTACTACCTGACCTAATTAGAGAAGGTCACTAATACCTATGTTTTGAGATAAATTAGCAAAAATATTTTATTATCTCTGAAATATACAGAAATTCATTTGGTTGTATGTATATTTAAGAAGGAATATCTTCACGGATTGAGTTTGAAAAAGTTTCACTTGATAGTACAATAATTCCTTTAAAGAGAACTCTTAAAGGAATTTTATGGTGAAAATCATTTTTGGTACTATTGTGTGTGCGTGTGTGCTCA